AACTGAACGGAAGCTTCTCAAGCGAAAAATAATTTCTGCGAGTGGCTCGCTCGTTATGTGAAATGCTCGTAGATGAGGCTGTTCGTCAATCGAGGCTCCACTATGGTGAGACGCCCGGAGGCGGAATCTGGCACAGCCATTGAAAGGTCTAAACAGCGCTTCCCACAAAAATAAACTAATCCCCACGCTCAACAGTTGCCGTTAATCTGATAACGCGGAAACTCCGTCATACTACTTAGTTGAAGACAGGGAAGTTTGGCCTTCGCCAGCGATCCTTTTTGCTGTCTACCTCGCACCAGAGGGAAGCGGTGACCATCGCGTGAATGAGCTTCTAGTGATGGTAGGCTCTCACTCATCTGAGCCCGATGTCAGCACAAAGCGGTCACTGAACAAGCTAGCAGCCCGTCACACACGCGCACCCGGTCCGCACATCAGGGAACAGGGTCTCGCATAAAACATGGGGATGGTGCCGTGCACAGGAGTCATTGCGGTCTGGCTCTTCGTTCTGGCCTTTCTGAAACGTTCCTACTGTAGATTTTTTGATGGCAGCCCACCGTGTTAGGACGAACCTAACAGGCAGATAGCATGCAGCAAGCAGCCGCACCCACAACAGGATATCGATCGGCCTACACGAGGCGAACGCATACTGGCTGTCAATCAATCGATAATTTAAAATTCAAGCTACAGTTAGCAGTTGGGTCACAAGTCAATCGTACCGCTACCCATGCCAGGACAGAAGCTGATTGGCTCGATGGACATCGTATTACACGCGTTTGTTTTCCTTAATATGTTGTACTAGTTACACTCGAAGACTTCTGCTCTCGCCCTCTTCTTGGTGTATTCTTCCTTGGGGGACTCACACGACGCGTAATTAGGCGGTGACATCTCGGCCTTGGCTACAGTTACAACACACCGCTCCTTGACTTGATTGATGATGAGGACGACGCAGTCGTCGTAGCCGCAATTGCTGCAGCTGGCATCGGCGATCATCCCACAGTGTGCGGTGGTGGGCGCAGTCCCAAAACTCGAGCTCACTTCCTCTTTCCTCTGCCGGACACCAGCTCACTGCCCATGCCGGTCACTCATCTGGTGCGGGATACTATTTTGTTCGTCCTTTCTTTGCTGATTAAAAGCGAGGAGGCGAGTTTGAAGAAGCAGTAGATGATGCGATTGTTGTAACAAGAAGTTTGTTTGTCTGAAGTTTCGGATTCTGGCCTAAAACCATTATCGATAATAGCCGCAGAAGAGGGTACTTAAGGCCGTCCGATTACGCAGTATTTATAGTCCATAGCCAACATCCAACACGGATGATGATGAAATCGCCGCGATTAATGACTCGGAAGCGGCCTCTCAAGGCACCGTCTCATCAATCACAACCCCCAAGCTATGATCGCCCGACCGCTACAGAGTAAAAATACTGCGTCATCTTTTTATTTATCGTTCTCTTCTGTGGCTATCTCTGATGATGTGTTCAGGCCAGAATCCGAAACTTCAGGCGACTGCATCTTCTACTTCTGAACTCTTTCCTTTGTTAGCCCGCACCCCCTAATTTTTGCCTTTCCTTCAATATTCGTCCAAATAATAACACAGTAGACTTTGAAATTATTCTGATATCTTACTATTTTGACGTTTGCTCGATTCGATAAAAGACTTTGTCAGTCCAGATTAA